GTTTCTGTTCTGAATTCGATTCTAATTAAAGAGAGGTATCAAAGGGGTAGAGCAACTAGTGGAGCGGTTGAAAGAATAATTCATGGTGTATACGCGGTGGTCTATTGGGTAACAGAAATTTCTAGTGACAGTAGAGTTTCTTGCTTATAATGTTCTTCGTCGGGTGTTGCTGAAGTCTCGTTGTAAATCCCCTAAGGTCGAGTACCAACCGAGTCGAGAATCGGCTTAAGCGAGCAAATGCGATCACATTCATTCCTCCAAGCCGCTCTGCAATTATATATATATTTTTCGCTATCACGTCATCGTCATCCCGCTCATTTTATCCATGAAAATCTAGCCATTAAGGAACGCAAAAGTCAGACACAAACGCCTCGCTTCATCCTTTTCGAGATACGTATATTTTATTGTTTTTTAGTTAGATTTATTTTCTGCAATTTATCTTTTCAGTTCTTCAAATGCATTAACTAATTGCACTTCTTTTTTAATTAAATATAGGATATTCGCATATTCCCTGAGTTCGACCCGGACACTCACCGGTTAAAGAGATTTTTTATTTTTGACGAAGTTTTTAGAGTTACTACACGAACACGCACGACACTATTTTCATTTTATACATATATATATATTTGTATTTTAAAAGATATTTTTAGATCTCCAAAAATCTTCGATCACCTTACTACAAAAGAGATTTTCTTGATAGTCTACTACCTCGTGATGACTCAAACCAACCTTTCTGAATAAATTTAAAAAGTTCATTAGGGTCACATATTATAGATTATGATAATTACCTACGTCTTAGATTTCTACCCAAACATAAACAAAACTATTAAACCGCTTCACGATAGATTAAAGGAAAATCCGACACCCTGGACAGATATACATACAATACTAATACAAGATATTAAAAGAAGAATTATTGAAATACCATGTCTCCACCTAGCTTACCCAACCTGCTAAAAATAGTTGAGACAGATGTCTTTGACATTGGCTACGAAGGAATATTAAAACTACTATAATATAATAGGGAAGTCATTATTCAATTTACTTCTGCTCATTGGAATGAAACACAAAAAATTAACTATAAAAAAAAATATTCTAAGTATCGTCCTTTGTATATCCAAATTTTAAAGTGATTTAATCAAAAAAAAAAAAAATTCTGTTACGAGTAGACTGTAAGAGTGCAAAAAAAATCCTACAAAAAAACGTTCAAAATCTTGCCTCCAAACAGATCATTGCCTGCTGGAAATGAAATACTAAGCATTTTTTACTTTTATATTGAATACATAAAAAGTTACACTAATTATATTCCTGATTTTTTAACCCGAGAATTCTTACAGAACAGGACAGATGCCGCCGAAACCTGTCAAGCTCCATGTCAACAAAATTGAGGATGATCACCAAACACTACAAAACCCCAAAGACCAACTTGAAGATACAACAACTTTCAAGCCATCATCGGTAAGATCAATACAGAAATCCCTAAAACAGATATTTGAAGATGGCGACCCAACAATAGGAGCAATCAATTCCTATAATGGTAACTTTCAATACTTTGTTACTCTCAGTGAAGAGATTTCTGACTCGGACAAAAAACCTATCTCGATCGAGCCAAAAAATTTACAAAAAATTCCTCAGCTAAAACCCCTACAACAAGTTCCTGAACTACAATCCCTGAAGATTCTCCAAAAATCTTCCTATCCTCATAAAACATATCAAAGAATCATCGAAAACACTGCCTCTACCTTAATTAAACATGAAACTTCAAAGACACCCTCTGAGATTCTATACTTTCAGAAGAAGATGAATTCGAAACATAAATAATATTTAAAAAGGGGTTTGTCTTTGAGGTTTTATGTTTAATGAAGGCAGAGGCAGTGTCTTCGATGATTGATTAATAGTAGAGAATATTTTACCCATGGTCAAAAATTTTGTAGAAGTTATTTTCTCCAAAAAGTGTTTCAGCTGTTTCAAAAGGGTCAAGGAAATCAAACTCTTTTTCGATAGTAGTAATATTTTGGTAGGTAGGTTTAAGGGACCATTCAGTTCGAGGGGTTTGGGTGAGCAGGATTATAGAAGTAGATGAAGAGGATTTTGTAAAAGAGATGTTTACAGAGGGTTTAGCTAAAACGGCAGCAGCAATATGTTTTATGAGGATAGAAAGATTTTTTGAGAATTTTCAAGAATTGTGGTTCAGGAACTTGTTGTAGGGGTTTCGGCTGAGGAATTTGTTCTAAAGTTTTTGGCTTGGTCGAGATAGGCTTTTTGTCCGAGTTAGAAATCTCTTCATTGATAGTAACAAAGTATTGAAAGTTACCGTTATAGGAATTGATTACTCCTATTGTTGAGTCGCCATTTTCAAACCTCTGTTTTAGGGATTTTTTCATTGATCTTACTGATGATGGCTTGGAAGTTGTTGTATCTTTAAGTTCGTCTTTGGGGTTTGGTGGTGTTTGGTGATCATTCTCAATTTTGTTGATGTGGAGCTTGACTAGTTTTGATGGCATCTGTCATATTCTGTAAGATTCTCAGTTTAAAAAATCATGAATATAATTAGTGTCACCTTTTATGTATTCAATATCAAAGTAAAAAATACTCAATATTCCTTGCTAACAGGCAAAGATCTATTTGGAGGCAAGATTTTGAACGTCTTTCTGTAGGATTTCTTTTGCACTCTAACAGTCTACTCGTAAGAGAAATATTTTGTTGATTAAATCACTTTAAAATTTGGATATACAAAGGACAATACTTAGGATTTCTTTTTTTATAGTAGAATAATTTTTTTGTGTATCATTCTAGTGAGCAGAAGTAAATTGAATAATGACTTCCCTATTATATCTTGTAGTTGTTTTAATATTTCTTTGTAGCCAATATAAGAGGCATCTGTCTCAACTATATTTGGCGGGTTTGGGTCAGCTAGATGGAGACACGGTATTTTAGTAATTCTTCTTTTAATATCTTGTATTAGTGTTGTATATATATATGTCAAGAGTGTCGTATTCTTCTTTAATCTATCATGAAGCGGTTTGATTTTCTATTTATGTCTGAGTAGAAATCTAAAACGTAAGGCTATTAGAATTATATTAGTGATATGGCCCTGCCAATCCTAGGGGAGAGGGCTATTAGAATTAGATAGTAAAATTAGTAATTATGTGGTATTTTATTTATATATTATTGAGCATTATAGTCCTGAATCAGTGTTTTTTTAGATTTTTAAAGTATTTAAGAACATTACAATCTTGATTTGAGCTTTCTAAATATGCTTCTAATAAACTCAGGTTCACATTTTTCGAATAAACATATAATTTCACATATTGACACTCTTGAATGATCAGTTTATTCAAAATATGTCAACCTGAGTTTATCAGAAGAAACACTTCCTAATTATATTATTAAAAGTATAATCTATACATATATACAAAAAATATATATTTTTTATCAACTCCAAAAATTTAATAATTTAATATAAAATATTATTTTTATATTATCAATACACTTCTCATACCCAATAAAAAAAAAAAAAAAACTACAAAACTCGTACAAAACAAACACACACTTGGATATACCAAACATCTCTATATTAATGTTATACCAAAAATTTAGATAGTATATCTGAAGTATCAGTGTAATTGGGTAATACTCTTTCGTATTTTACACACGCACCCGCACACCAAGCGAGGAATGTCTTACCACTTGATCTACATGGGTATGACGCACAAACTAAAGTACATAAAATGTTTTATATATTGCATAAAACTCTATTGTGTTAATTTAAAATTTGCACAAAACATCCTATTTGTCCAAACTTCATATTTGATTTTAAATAAAAGCTTAAATTACGCAAATTTTATGCAAATAAAAAACGTAAAATATTTTAAATAAATTTTTTTAATAAATTAAATAAATACATAAGTAATCATTTATTTTTATAGTATTTTTTTAAAAAAAATCAATTACAATTTCTCGTTTGAACAAAAATTGTGTTTAGTACAAATTTTACATATTTTATCCAATAAATAAAATACAATATACTTGATGCATTTTTACTAAAAAATACAAAAAAATGCTATATAAATTACCCACATAAAATGTGCCATACCAAAATTGTGGATACGATATTCAATGCAACAAGAAATTTCATTCCAACTCAACCTAAGTCGGAAATAAGATTTCATACTCCTTTGATCGAACTTGAACAGTCCACTTACCATTTGAAGTTACCGCATCTAAATAAATAATTTTCATCTATAGTCTCTAGTCCATTCTCCAATCAATTGATGAGGATAATATAAAATATTAAAAGTATTAAATATTAAAAATATAAAATATTTTTGAAAATTTAATTACTAATTAAAGAGAAAATACAAAATGCTAATTAAGAATAATAATTAAATATTATTTTTTTTATTTTATCAAAATTAACAATAGAGTAAATTTGACAATAAGAAAATTGTATTTTTAATGTGAAAAAGATAGTATTTTTAATGTAAGTAAAGAAGAAGAATAACAATATAGAAAATTTATTAAAAATTTAATAAAATGTAATGGATAAATTAAAATACTCCCTTCTCTACAGGATATAATTTTTATTTTACTGCAAACGAAAAATTTACGAAGAATATAATTAATAAATAATTAAAAATATATTAGTGAAAATAATTATTATATAATAAAAATAATTATAAATACGTCGAAGGAAGGGAGTAGTATAAATTGATTATTATTTATTAAAATTAAAATAATAAAATTGTGGATAAATAAATTGTTTATTATGAATAAATTTAACTAGACAAAAAAAAAAAAAAAAAGTATTGCATAACTACTCTGACCAAGGGAGTATTTCTTATTATAACTTCCTTTTGAAACTATTCATGTGAAACGACGGAATATTAAACGTTGATAATAATATTCCATCCATCCTAACTAAAAAAGTATACTAAAAATAAAAACCCAATTTAACAAAAGCCACAATAAGTCTCACAGAAAAATCAGGAGGACAAAAGGAAAGGAAACACAAATAAAAAAATATCTTTTATAATTTGTGATCCTCTTGTCTCCATCCATCCACAACCTTGCAAACACAAGAAATTAACAAGATAAAAGAACATATATAATCCACATACCTTCAACTGCAACTGCAACTGCAACCATGGAGTCTGCTCACAGTCACAAGCACCACCTGATCTTCCTTCCCAGCCCGGGATCGAGCCATCTCGTCCCTGCCCTCAACTTCGGAAACCTAATCCTCAGTCGAAACTCATCCCTTCGTATAACATATCTACTCATAGCCGATCTTCATACTCCGAAACCTTCCCACAATTCAATCCTACCCATCCCCAATCCTTGCCTTCAATTCCTCAACCTCCCTAAACCCGAAACTCCGGTCAGCTCAAGTTTCCATGACAACAAGCAGAAGCTGGCTTCGGTACGCAGCACCGAATATATAAACAGGCATAGGCCACAAGTGAGAAAAGCAGTAGATGATATTGTCAAGAACTCGGGGGATCGAATAGTTGGATTGGTTGTAGACATGTTCTGCGTGAGTATGATCGATGTTGGCGACGAATTCGGGATCCCTAGCTATGTGTTCTACACTTCTAGCGCTACGTTTCTTGCGTTCAAGATGTTCTTCCTTAGGCTTAGAGATGAACATGGACAGGATATTACAGAGTATAAGGATAGTGATCATGAATTCCAAATCCCTGGATTTGTCAATCCTGTGCCTGCCAAAGTTATGCCTTCTATGATGCTGGACAAAAATGGCGGATCGGAATTGGTGATGGAATGCGCACGTCAGATTCGTAAAACTAAAGGAATTATTATCAACACTATGGAAGAAATGGACGCAACCGCCATAAGAACCCTAATTGACTCGAAAGGTGAAATTCCCCCAATTTACCCAATAGGACCCGTAATTGATCTCGTTCCAGTTCGGACTCGAGATGAACGAATCGAAGACGATAGTATAATCGGTTGGCTGGACGCACAACCGCCGTCGTCGGTGGTGTTTCTGTGCTTCGGCAGCCAGGGGACGTTCCCCGCGCCACAGATCGAACACCTTGCGTGCGCAATCGAGTTGTGTGGCTACAGATTTCTATGGTCGCTAAGAAGCCCTAAGGGAGGAACGGCGGAAGAGATCTTACCAGAAGGTTTTCTCGAGCGAAGTAGCTGCGCCGGGAGAGTGATCGGATGGGCGCCGCAGGCGGCGGTGCTGTCGCACCCGGCGGTTGGGGGATTCGTGTCGCACTGCGGGTGGAACTCGGTGCTGGAAAGCGTGTGGTTCGGCGTTCCGATCGCCGCCTGGCCGATGGCGGCGGAGCAGCAAGTGAACGCGTTCCACATCGTGAAGGAATTGGGGATTGCGGTGGAGATTAAGATGGATTACAGAGGAGACGTGGATTCCGCGAGCGTGGTGGAGGCAGAGTTGGTCGAGAAAGCGATCCGGGCGGTGATGGGCAGAGAATCGATCGGAATTCGGAAGAAAATTAGGGTTTTGAGAGAGAGGGGATTGAGAGGTTTAATGGCCGGGGGTGGAGGTTCATGGGAGAAGTTCATGGAAAAGCTAATTCATGACAGTAATTCTTCTGCTTCAACTTAGCGAATAAAGGCTGGTGTGTTTGAGTACGTATGTAAATTGTTTCGTTACTTCGTGCTCCCTACTTATGTACCCAACAGCAATGGCTCGGATTTGGAGGCCCTACCCTCTGACACAAGGGTTTTTTTTGGAAAAATTTGGTTTGGGTTTGGGTTGAATTTGAATTTTTTATGAGTTTTGGAAATCTCTTAGGTTTATATTTGAATTTAGTGGGTTTTGTTAAGCAGTGATGTGATAGATAATGATTGCAACGATGTGATTATTAATTTAGTTTAATAAATTAATTTAGACTCCGTCCATATACCACTTTGTTATGTCCACCCTTTTATTTTTGTCCGTGCCACTAATTTTGTCATTATTTTTAACAGTGTTATACATTTAAGTCTTATTTTTAAAAATTTAATTTATAATTTCATTAATTTTAATTATACTAATAAGTTATCCTAATCGTAATCTATAATTATTTTTACTACACGATGCTTACTTCCAATAATATATTTTGAAATTATTGTCTATGTATTCCCTCATAAATTGTCATGCCTACAGTAAAACAGATAAAAGTTCCGGGAAATAGGGAGTATTACGTAAGAACATGCAATAAGTATAAAGTGTGATGTTTTACCCGCGGAAGAACTTCTAGGAAAAATGGTTCCCAGTAGAAGCCTTCAGTTACGTACGGCCGGCCTAGTGCAAAAAATATTTCTTTGGTGCAAATTACGTTTAATATATAATACGACCAATGTACCCTACATGATAGAATATGCCGAATATAAAATGTTAACAACCGTCAACGGAAAAATCACATCATGCGTATATGGCGCCCAACAGACGGGCGGTACAATTCCAATCGGACCCAAAGTTAGGTAAGCCAACAAAACATCGAAAGAAAAACGAGTACATGATGTCGTCGCCGAATACAAGTACGCACCTAGTTGTTCATTGAGCAAACAAGTATATTATCACTTACGCGATAGTCGCTATGCACCCGACGAGGATGGCCCTCCGTCCAACACTGGAGAGTGCGCGCACAATGCATCAACTCTGCGCTCAATCGCCAGTATGTGAACCTCGATGCGTTTCTCCATCTCCTCAAGACGGCGGTGGATTCCGGCAACGACTACATCTACCGAGGACGTGGATCCCTGCTCTCCTGAATTGCTCGTAGTTTTGTCAATGTGCGTGACTGGATCCCCACCCCGTCGCCTCTGGATTAGGCCCATTTGCATGAGGACGTCAATGCCACCGGGCTTTATCTTCGACGCGGAGCTCTCCACAAATCCCGTCATGACTCCTAGTCCATGCGCCAGTCGAGTCACGTACGAACCAATACATATGACCTGTAAACGGCCGTCGCCTGCCTGCCTAGCTAGTAGCTGTGCAAGACAATACCCGAGATGGATAGGAAACCCACGCTCCATGCTTCATAGATACTTTAGGTCATCTCCCGTGACGACGCTACTACTGGAGTTACGCCCTGTTAAAGTATGCGCAAATATGTAATGTATATACCTCAACGCGGGTGAGCGGAGTGCGGACGCCTTTGACACTCCAGGATTGTATACTTTCGAGTTCGTGATGGAAATCCAATACCGCTCATGCGCGTCTTGCATTTCTCCTTACAACGATTTGTACTCGACTGTCTTCGTAAACTTTTGTCGTACAGGCCCATAGCAACGGAAAATTCGGTAACAAAGAGCTGAAAGTTCTTATTGCCGAGGCGGAAGGTAAGTGTGGCGGGATATTCGAACTCGTGCAAGTGCTTCTTGTCAACGGCTAGGGTACTCAGGAACTCTAATGTCAACGTACGTTGCGTGTCGTCCTTGATGTCGAAGAAACGTCCCCAAGCACCCACCCTGAGGTACCTCTCACACTCACTCACTGCATTAAGCGCATCAACTGCCTCTTCGGTTATGTAACATCCGGTAAGAAAAGTTACCTTCTTCAGTCGGTTGAACTTCTCCGCATCCGCCGGGTTCTCAAATGGCCTCAAAGCTTGGTCGTCGGAGGCAGGAACCATGGATGGAGATACGCCGGTGATTTTCTTAGTATGCCTGGCCCTCTTCTTCACGGGTGCCATGCCGATGAACATGCAGCGAGGATAACTTAAAACATACAAACACAACGAAGGAAAAAGATTAGTAAATAGTTTAAAGTGCATGGCCACTCAAAAAACAGGGAAAAAATAGGACTTTCGTATGGCCATGCATTAAGGAATGCATTTACACGCGAATCGAATGCCCGCAAAAAAAAAAAATAGGTACTTTCGCATGGTAGTGCATCAAAGCCGAATGAGAAAACATATAGTGGTAACAAAAGTAAACAAAGAGATGCAGGTACGTATGCACGTCCATTCAAGTGTGTCTTAGCTTCACTGCTTCCCATAATAAATACAAGTAACATACATGCTCTACACGAACAGAGATCTACGGCACAATATGCACGGCCGTGCGTGATGTTTCGCATTGTTTCGGCTTCCAATGAAGACCGGAACAAAAAAATAAATCACACCCCGCACGGTTGTGCACGATCACGCTAGTATTGCATGAACTGAATTTTTCCTCGACGGCGGGTCTCCGCAATTAAAGGTGACATGGTATGGCATCGTCGTTGTCTCCGTTCGTTATAAAACATCAAACGAAATACTTAGCCTTCAAAGTCAACATTACAATTCACATTCAACACACTACGTAACCATCTATGCTGATTACATAGAAACGAACATCGGAAAATTGTAATGGTATGTTGGCTCTGCCTAAACATCCATTACATCGAACCGATCGATTACACGTAGTAGCAAAAGGTTACACACTAGGGCCAAGGCTTGCTTGCAACTATTACGCTAATGAAGGGACTACGATTGCATGATTTAAATGACAAGCCAGAAGCATACGAAAAACACTACATCATTGATATGACTATCCACTTGTAGGTTCGCCCTTTATGTGGTCGAAGCTCTGCGTCTGTTTCGGTGGGGAACCACAATTCCTAGTCCCCCGTCTGCGTTCCTTTGTTCTGCCCATTCCTTACAGGTGTTGTACTAGATGCTCCCCCAGTGAATGGTTGTTGTGTTACGGCATCTTGTACCACGGTGGCCTCCCACTCCGAACACCACCAAAAGGATCCTTGCCCACGAGGGCAGTATGGGCATGAAAAGTAAGGACAGCCAGGGTTCTTAGCGGTACGGCTTATGCGCTTCGGCATGAGTGTTCCACATACAACACATCGGGGGTACACTTCATGGGACAACATCTTGAACAACTGCGACACATAGAATACGAAGAATGTCGAATGCTATTGTCGTACGGACAAACCGGTATACGCCATTATATCTTACGCCAACACATTACAACATTGAAGAGCTAATGCACAAATTGAAAGTACGGCCAAAAGGGCCCTAACATAGAAAGTCTAACTACCATACGTCTACGGATTAGTTTTGATTCCCTCGTTACGTTTTACCTATCTCTGCTTGTCCACATTCCATTAGCAAGGTGTTCGCGAAACTGATTCATCTGTGGGTTGTCAAATAGTTCCAGGTAATCATCCGGGAGTGGGTCGCCCGTAGTTGAGTTCTCTGTTTCCTCAAGTGCAGGTTCACTGCCTTCTCCGTCGTGGTTTTCTACGTTCTCGCCCGCCGCTACCATCAAATTGTGCACAGTAGCACACGCTTGGACCAAGTTTACTTACCGGTAAAACTTGTAATTTGGCATCGGACCTCTTAGGATTGCAAACCTCCGCTTCAGAACCCCGAACGCTCGCTCGACGACATTGCGAAGTTGAGAGTGTCGAAAGTTAAACAATTCTTTCGGGCCACGCGGGCGCCCCGGAGTGTCGTGACATGTTTGCGAGTGGTAGCGATGGGAGCGGAAAGGTGTCAGTGTCAAGGCGGAGTTGGTGTATGCCGAATCCGCCAGATAGTATTTGCCTATCACAACCCGCATGCGTTAGCGGAGTAGGCATGGTACACGCCCGTAACATGACTTTGAGTACGAATGTAGGTAGACTAACCTGGCGAGGGTAGAGGAAAGTCTTGTGAAACGGCTATTGCGTGATTTAGAACCCGGGAGTCATGTGCACTCCCCTCAAAACCCGCATATACATAGACGAACCGCATATCGTGGTCTACAACGGCCAAGATAGACTGCTCGGTATGTCCGTGCCGACTGCGGAAACGCGGTGCCTCCGTAGCAGGGACGCATGCATGGACGCATGCATGGATCAAGGTACCATCAAGGGCCCCAACGCAGTCCTATAAAGGAGATTGTAGGATAGTACAATAGTGTTGATTTGAAGTGGTAAGGTACAATGACGACCACAGAGGACAAGTTATACATTAAAGTAAGGCATAAAATGTCGGTTGTTTGCAATGCGAGGGTGAGTGATACTTTGATCTCTAGGGGAGACGACCTCGAATCCGAGCAGACACAATGCCTCACTTACTCATTTTACGTGGCGCCATATGGTTTGCGTTGAGTGTTGAAATCTCTCCGCACTGTTACGATGCCTATTAGAGTGGGCAACTGTGTGTAGAAAGATCGCGGCAGCCTCATGAACGCCGACACGCGTCCGTACATGTGGCTTAATTAATCCGCGCGCAGTCAACGTATCGCACATATGTAGGAAAGTCTCCTTCGTCACTCGTAAAAGATTTTTAATCCTGATCGGATGTCCATTTATAAGCTCTTGTGTAAATGCTGAACCACTCAACAGGGAGTCGTAGCAACGTCTTGGTTGCAAGCATTGTACAAATGCGATCGCGGCAATGCCGGACATGCCATGCAATGCCTCTACGTATGCTACTTCCATTCGCTCATCAGCCGACTCATCACGCCTGATGGTTTCCTCTTCATCCTCCTCCCGAAACTCTTCATCACTAAAGGCAGGATATTCGCCATTACGATTGGTGTCGGCATTGGAGTTCGTCCCAACATTAGTCGCCATAGTAACTGAGTAAAGAGGGTTAAATCAAACGTAGGAAAGTTCCACAATAACAAACACGTGTACTTCTAGCCGCATGCAAGTGCGGCATAGTTGGAAACATTCACTCAGACCAATACTAGACAAGGTACGACCACGTAAGACGACATAGTCGGTGGCATAAACTTAAAACGTAATTCGGGTTCCATGACTACTGCGGCGAAAACTAAAGGCCCACATTCTTTGCCGCGCGGTTGTCCACGAGAGGAAGAGCACTCGACGGTCTAGGAAAGATATCTCGCGTAACGCGCGGACCAGCGCCACATTGGGAAGATCGGTGAACGAGTTGAGAATAGCCTACGCTCAGAGGAGGGTCTCGCGGCGCTCGTTGTCCCTACCAAGTA